CAACATAATCACTTTAAAGTCATCCAGAACTTTCACTAAATCAACTTCAGATATAATAAAGATAGAGTTGTCTTCCTTCTTCAGGAATTTCATGGCTCTATCTGTCCTAACAGGAGAAAGTGCCCCTGGTTCACTTGGGAAAGCTGCTCTGGCCAGTAATCCTGAACAGCTGGCTGTGAGGACCCTCTGAGTTGTCACCTTACTTTACTGTCACTACAAACCCTAAGTAGCAATGCTAACTAAAAAAAAAGTTAGAGAAATGACAAAAAAGAAAATAGTAAATAACAAATTAAGTAAAAATTTAAAAGAAAAAGAAAAGCAAAAACTCAAAATTCTAAACTGACAGTCCAGTTATGTGTGGGTCCAACAGGTCAGCAACTAAGAGATCCCTGTATCAAGGGGGGAAAAAAAACCATAAAAACAAAACAAAATAAACCAAACCAAACCAAACAAAACAAAACAAAACAGCCTTTGGTGATTATCCCTGGTTACCTACCAGCTTGATTGGATCCAGAGACTCCTAGAGAAGTGTTTGGATTGTGAGGGTGCTAACCTCATCAATGATTAACCAACTCTCAAATTCACATTTGAATGTGGTATTAGAAGATAAGGACTATTCTAGCAAATAGTCTATTGAGGACATGGCTTTAAAGGGTTTAACTGTCCCCTGGTTCTTCCTCTTCTCTTTGGTTCTTGGTTGCCATGAATTGAGCAGCCTTCCTCCACCATGCCCTTTATTTACCATGATGTTCCTTCCAGCTGACCGTGGACTGAAGCCTCTGAAACCAAGCCAAAACAAACTATTTCTCCTTTAAATTGTATATGTCAGATAATTTGTCGCAGCAATGAAAAGCTGACTTAACATAGAAAATCAGTACCAGAGAAGTAGGGTCGTTACTATCATCATACCTGATCATGTGATTCAGAGGCGTGTAGAATAAACAAATTTGAAGGAGGAGTTTGGAAAGTTTTGGAGTTGCAAACTAGAGAAGCATTAGAATGATATAAGCAGAGATTGGTGAGAGATTCTTGTGGCATTCAGCAGACCAGAGTGCTGACAGGAATGTGAACAGTAAAGGTTTCGGACATCAACTAAAACTCTCCTGGGAAATGGACAAGAAGCACTGAATGTATCTTGTGAAATTCTAGCAAATAATTTGTTTACATTATGTCCATCCCCTAATATTTGTGTGAAGCTGAGTTTAAAGGCAATGGACTAAATGAGTTAATGGAGGAAATTTCAGGACAGCCAAATGTTCAAACTGTGATGTTGGTACTGGTGGCTTCTTTAGAATCAAACACAAACAACATTGCAGAAAGATTTGAAAAACTTGCTATATGGCTAGAAATGAAGTATCTAGTTGGAAAGATGACTCCTGGGCATACCTCACAGTGGCTGTCTTTTTTTTTTTTTAGTACCAGGGATTGAACTCAGGACCTTGCACTTGTGAGGCAGGCAGCAGCACCACTGAGCTAAATCCCTGGCCCTTTCTTGCTTTTTTGACCTCATGGACCTTTCACACTTTAATAAAGAAAGATCTCCAAAAGAATTTTCCTTAGGTGATTTATGAAGATTGATATTTAGTTTTTAGTAATTAGAACCTGAAGGATGCCTTGGTGTCCTGTGGGTTTTGGTTTGAAGTCTGTAATGCCTGTTGTTTTTAAAGACTTCGTGATGTCTACACCCAACATATTCAATTTCTTTTTATGAAATTTCTGTCTGTATTCAAATTTGTTACAGTTTCAGATATATGATAGTATGAGGTAATGTCCTATTTATAAAATACAGTAAGGCACATTAATATTTATGAAGTTAATATAAATATATCATCATAATTACCCCCTGAATATCATTTTTCATCAAATTCTTGGAGACAAGAAGGAAATGACTTGATATATGCAGTATTGAATGAAGAAGAAGAAGGAGGAGGAAAAGAGGAAAAAATTCTAGTCAACCATGAATTCTGTATCCATCAAGTGTCCTTAAAAACAAGGGAAGAATTAAGATATTCACAGATGCAAATATTATGAATTTTTTTACCACTAGTCTTACTGCACATAAGTGATCCTTCACATTAAAATGAAAGAATATTAGGCAGGAACTCACAGTTTTATGAAGAAATGAAAAACTCGGCTAAAGGTGAAATATGCAGACAATTGTAAAAGCCAAATCTATTTTTGTTTTCTACATAATTTTAGAAACTCATGTAGCACGAGCCCCTGAATGTTAGAGTCTGTTCAGAGACATACAGCGCCTACAGGTGAAACTCTGTGACTTCAGTCACTGAGATGTGTGGAAGCAGAAATCTGTATGTCATTAAGTTCAGTTAGCACAGATTCACATCAGAGTGGTTGGTGTACTTTAGACTTTTAAATGTAATAGTCATGGTGTCCACATATATCTATGAAATATACAAAGAAATGCAGAAGAAATTTAACCATTTCCCTTCCAAAAATATCTCAGAATACAGCAAATGAGGGGCAAAAATCTACAAATCTTATGGATAATTTGGTAACTCACAGAGGTAAGCTTTTCCTTTTCAGTGATTACTTTGACTGTAAATGAGTCACCTTCCTCCCACTCAACACAGATTGAGAGAATGGGTAGGAAAATATCCAACTATATGTTGTTTATAAGAGAATCACTTTAGATTCAGACACAAAAGGTAAACAGGAAAGTGTACAGGTACTTCTTACAAATTATATCCAAGAGACAACAGGGTTGGCTATATGTATATGAGACAAAATATATTTTAAATGACAGAAAAAAGCAACACTAGCCAAGGATGTTAAAATCATTAATAAATAATTCAATCCAACAAGAAGATAACAAGCATTGAAATAATCAAGCACTGGAAATGTTCACTTTTAGTAATACAATTGCAAGTACAGTCGTCTATTGCTTTAGTTTTCAAGACAGTCCTCTGAAGATAAGAGTAGATGAACTTTATATTTGTAGTCATGTTAAAGCTGGGGGGAGGTGTCTCCTTTATCCAAGCAATTTATTGTTAAGTCTCAGACATGAAAAACAAAGACTATTACAATCCTGCCAGACCCTGGGGGAATTTTTGTTCATTGTTTGTATTTGCAGTGAGCTCCAAGTACACTGAAATCACTGTATGCCTAAGCCAGGGGATTTCGCCTTGATTCGTGATATTGAATAGTTGGACTGTTTCAAAGCCAGGGGAACTATAGAGTCCATCTAGTCTAAACTGCTCACAATTCAGATGGGAAAGTCTGAGCCTCAGGGAGGGAGGTGATCTCTATAAATTCATGTACAAGAGTAACGAGACTGAGTTGGAGTGGGAGCCGTTTGGAGGCCTCCATACCCACCACAGTAGAACAGGAGATATACAACCTTAAGCTAATTTGTTGGGTCGATTGATCCCTCCAGGGGTACCCAGCCAGGTTGAGTAACAATTTTCTGATTCAGTTCAGATATTTTGCATTCATTAAAATAATTTGTAAAGCATATTTTATTAGCTCAGTGAAAGATATCCTTTCATATATAAAGTGGACATTGTATAGGATACTGAGAGAAGAAAAAGGGAGAAGTCCTTCCAAGTCCAGCTCCAATACATTTACAGTCATCATTTTGGTGATTACTTCTGAGATGAGATTCTATACCTCGTAGTTTATTGAGAAGGTGCTCTGCTGGAAAGTGGGAAAAGAAAGGAGAGATTATCAAGGATATGGTCTCACATGATCTGGCCATGGAATGTCCTATATGACCATCTGGAGCTAAATTGCACTGCTGCTTATCCTGTCTTAAAGCAAAGGGAAACCAAGCTTTTCAGCCTTTTTTTTTTAAACCAACTATCAGTCAGCCATTGGCTGCCCCAAGGGAAGTGGGGTTGTGTAACTTTCCAGGCCACAAGGTAAAGTATCCCTCTTAGAAATTATGAGCTGCAGCATTCTTTTCATGTGAAGTACAGGTGGACCTAGCTGGTAAGGAGCATACAGACACAGCATTCACAACACTTTCTTGAGCTGTGCTCACACTTGCCTTCCTCGTTTACTGCCCTGAATGTCTCTCCTGGGGACCTTGGAGATGCCTGTTTGCCTGGCTTGGTCCTCAGCCAAGTGAAGCTTCTCTCATATACTTTGGGACACTGGTCAACCAAAAGTTTTATGGTTCTTGGGTAGGCAAGTGGCACCCTTTCTGTGCTGGAGTACTGTGAAAACTGTCCTTGGAGTGTGCTGTATCTTAGGCAGATTAAGACAACCCTTAGGGAGTCAGTGGGCATTAAAGACCCCACAGCCCTTCTGCCTTTGCTGACCAATAACTGTAGGAGATAAGAACTTAGCACCACTTTGGAACAGGAGTATCTCATTGCTCTCTTCCTGCCCCCACAGAAGGAAGCAACAGCCAGTCACATTGCATCTGAGTCCTTTGTGGAGTGGAGTTGGAGGAGAGAGGGTGAAGAGAATATTTTCTTTGTATACCAATCTGAGTCAGAGCATCATTGACCCAGCTTCTTTCTGCTAAATTCAGGAATTCAAATTTTCCCAGACAGAAGCAGTTTATATGTTTGATGCTAGACACATGAGGCAATAGGGCCTGAGGAAAAGTGGCTCCAAAACTAAAATAGTAAGTTTACCAAGTGGAAATTCAATCACAAAAAGTGAATTGAATTCCACTAGAGGCACTCCATTCATTTGGCCTTTTCTGGCCTCATACTTGTCCTTATGGTCTCTTAGTGTAGAGTATTTTCCCCATTGATGCACACCACTCATCCTTACACACCAAAATCACACTTATCTCCTTTCCCTTGCCAAAGATCCATAGACTTTGGTCTATGGTGGTGACAAGCCTATGGCAGGTTGTTGTTTTTCCTTTAGGACAAAAGATGTTGATGTATGAGTTGTTTTTTCTAAGGTAAAACTCAGTTTTCAGGTTTAATTGCAGTGTTGGCGCTTTGTGATAAATGGGCTTTGCTTTGCAGTTTGGACGCATGATAAATGGTTGAATTCTTACTATGAACTGGGTACTCTTCAAGGTCCTGCGGATGTGACAGTGGAAGAGCAGATGCTGCCTTGCTTTCATGGGATGTATAGCTGATTGTGAAAGTTAATTCATTAAGAGGAAACAAGTGGAAGTGTTTGATATAGGAATAATTCTGTTAAGGAATCAAACAGCATGCTGAGGTAAGAGCTGAAGGAAATGAAGTGTGTTTTTGGACCGAGTGGCCCAGGTGTAATGGAGAAGGTAAGACAGATCTTCTAAAATTAGTGTTTTATTCCCTTAGAGATAGGCTGGGTTTTCAAATTTCCTCCCCCTAACCCCCAAGGATGTCACCCAGGAGGATTTAATGCTTCCAGACCCCAGTGCCAATGCTTGACTAAATATGTATGCACACATCTTCTGGCTTTTGTTTTACTTCACTTATAAATTGGAGCGCTTTGATGTGGGGTTGAGGTGGGGCACAACAGGACTATTACATGCCCCCTTCAACTTGGTGAAATTATAAATAAATGTATTTTTCCATTTTTATAGGCTTTTCTCATACTTTTGACAAACAAACCCAGGTACCCAGACAGCAGTGGCCCAGATTCAGGCCTAACAACACCCTGTCAGCAGCATGCAAGGATGCATCTCTTTGGAATCCAGCTGGACCTTGAGTTGGTTCTAGGTCTAGGTGAAATCTCTACTCAGGTTTAGAAACAGAACATTAATGACATTGGATATTCCTCAGGACATCGTGCCATGTGTGAGTGTGTGTGTGTGTGTGTGTGTGTGTGTGTGTGTGTGTGTGTGGTGTTATACCCTTGGCAAGTGATCTACCACTGAACCACAATCCCTTTTTAGTGTGTTAAAGAAAAAAAAAAAAAGTATTCTAAAGTCTCTGAGATGAAGGAAGAGTTAGTGGCTGACCTTGTCTTGCAGTTGAGGACACTGAGACCCAGGTACACAGAAATGCTGGACTCTGGTTCTTTGTTCTTCTGGAACATCCATTAAAAGCCAGGGGTTCTCAGAATATCCAAGGAGGAAGCTAGCTAATAGGAAAGACCCCCAACACTGGCAGTATGACATCTAGCCTTACCAGCCTTAAACCCTTTGTTAGATGCTTGTGATTGGACAAAACATAGTTTGTTTCACTGTGTATCAGTTGATGGACTTTTGGGTTCTTTTCATTTTTTGATTGTTAGGGATAATGCTGTTTTGAACATTCATGTACAAGTTTCTGTGTGGACAGTGCACACATGTTCTGCCCTACTGTCTTACAGGTCAAATTCTGTCCAAGTTAATGCTTTCAATTATCTTGGTTGGCAACATATGAGGAGGATTGCTAGGTCAGATTGCTAGGTTACATGATAACCATGTTTAACTTTCTGAGGAACTGTTTCCAAAGTGGCCGTACTGTTTTATATTCTCATCAGCTTTGAATGATGGTGCCAGTTTCTCCATATTCTTGCCAACACTTTTTACTGTCTATATTTTTTATTTTAAAGTCATTCTAAATAAAATCATTTAAAATCATTTTTTTCCAGTGTGTATCTATTTTTTCCAGTTAATTGGTGGAGATATTAGGAGCTGAAAGGTGGTTG